TTTTTTTCATTATTCCCTCAAAGATTTTCATTTCTCCTTAAAAAAGATTTTGTTCCTCTATATTTTTTTTCTCTTCTCCTCCAATTTTTTTTTCTTTCTCACTCGCAAAATCCACATTACGCTATTATAAAAACAATTGTCACTTTTTTCTCTAAAATAGTACATCTAAAATAATTTTGTTGTTAGGATTTATTCAATAATTTTTTATCATAATTTTATAAAAATATATAGAATTGAATTTTGATATTTAAAATTTAAGGTTCTTAATTTTTATTTTTTAATCATGGTTATATATATATATATATATATATATTGATTTTTCAGTTTAAATTCCTGGTGACAACATTTTAATGTATAAATTATATATCACAGATTCATTATTTGATAGTGCCATTACGAGCCCACAATTTCTGGTTCATGAATTAGAGTTATAATTCATTTAACCTCGCAGTTTTTTTTATCTATTTGTCAGAATTGCAATTGCTTTAGAACTATATCCAATTATCCGTGTATCCTTTTATTTTTATGGGTAATCACATTCAATATGTTTAGTAGCCCACTTTTATTCCAAATGGCAATCATATTCTACTTGAACTTGATTTAGAATTTACCATTATTAGAGAAAGACAGGTGAGAAATATTCCATCTTTGTCATCTTTCTGTCTCCTTCCCCTCCAAATTCTGATTGGTAAAGACTTTGGCTTACTAGTGCAGAAACCAAACATGAAATTTGTTATATTCTTAAAATTTATATTAATGACATTTTACCTCCGGTACAAGTTATTTATCAGAAATAATTACATGTGTACTACACTAGATATTGTCCAAAGGCTGAGAAAGATTTAACATGGACACTACAGACTCTCATGACCTTTTGTTTGAATGTGTCACTAGATCTCACTTAAACTTTTAAACAATTTAAATTCTCTACAATCTGCTCTGCTCACAGAACTTGTGTCTACATTTTTTTATTGGGGAGTGGTTTTAGCTATCAATTGACTTGGGGGCTAGTCTTGAACAAAGCATGATTTGAGTTTTCTTTTAGGAGCTTAGACATATTGGCCCTCTTTTTTAATGATACAGTCACAAACTCTATTCAAGGTTCTATTTTCTAAGCCAAGAACAAGAATCTTCTATGTTATGATTTGTTAACATACTTTGGGATCTACCAATCTCTGGGAATTTGGGCTTCAAATTGCTAGGCATTCGGCCCATTTATATGGGCTCATTTCAAGAGCACCAACCATACTATTTGGGCCTTGTACTTATATCTGTTTTTTTTTGCTTTGTTCCATAAAAAAAATAAAAAGAGCGTAGTCTCTTGATTCAAATTCCTGCTTCTCTTCGAAAAAAAAAATTATATATATATATATAAACATAATCATTTTCTATTAACTCCCTTAAAAACTTTGTGAAAAGAATAATTATTTTTTAAAAGATAAACAAACTTTCTGAAACAAGTTTCGAATCTCAGTCCTATAAAGAAAACGAAGAATTCAAAGGTAAAAAGATATATAAATAAAATAAACTTTATCAAAAAAAGTTTCAAACCTCTTTACGCTTAATGGACAAAAGACACACGAAGTGTTCTTATCTAAATACATCTAATTTTTTTATGAATACATTTAAATTTTTTGTTACAGCCTAGAGTTAATCAGTAGTACACACTTCAGCCTAATCATATTTTATTAGACCCTTAGCCTAAGTGTAGAAAAAGTTACTGGTGAAAAGGTTAAAAGAGATAAAAACATGCAAACAACAACACAAGTTTTGAAACGACCATAGGCCAAAGGGGCAAGCATCAACAACAAGAAGCAATTGAAAAAAACACAGCCCTTCTTCAAAATTCAAAACTAAAAAATTGTTCATAGCAGTAAACGTATATGATGACAGACAATGCATGGCCCGAAGTCAACATTGTCCTTTGACACTAATGGTCTGTTTGGAGAGGTCATTTAGTAGGAAAGGAAGAAGAAAGCAAGAAATTAAAAAAGAATGTGTATTTGAAGGAGATGATTTAAGTAAATTTTAAAATAAAAAAAAACTGTGTAGGATCTATGAGAATTTAATTTCACTTTTTTAAAGACAGATTTTTGTTAAATTTTTCTTAAAAAAAATACGTAGACAAGATTATCTCTACATTATTATCTAAATAGTTAGTTAATAAAAAATAAAAATATAATTATTTAAATAATATATTTTTACATAAAAAATTAACTATCTAAAATACATTTTTAAAATACTAATTTTTATTTATTTCTCACTTAATTTTACTCTACAAATTTTGTATTATATTTTACTTATTTTTTATAAAATCAATTCTCACTTATTCTCTGTCATTCCTCTCAATTCTTCTTCATTCCCAAACAAAGCTTAAATTTTTTTCACAGTAAATGAAATCTTCAATCTTTTTCTTTTTGTTGGGTAATCGAACTCCCCAATCGTTAGTTCCTAACTGTTGAAAATGCGAACTCTAATTTTGCGCGACTTCAATGACTATACACAATCAACATAGCTTTGATTTAAGTCATTCATGCTCTCAATGATTTGACAGAAAAATTTACTTAGCTCAAAAGCCTTGTGTAACTTGATTTTGTTTCACTTTTAGAGGTACACTTTTTGTTTACAAACATGTCACGTATGAACTCACCATTTTTTTACAACACTTCGTTTAACATGGACATTGACATGGAGAGAAAAAAGAAATCGATGTTATAAAAATAGTGTTATGAAAGAGAAAATTGAATAAATAAGCCGATAGATGTTAATTCATTTGATAATCATCTCATAAAGATGTAAGTTTTATTATTATTTTCAATGTAAAAATTTTGTTAATGAATAATTTATAAATATTTATAATTATTTCTTGAGTCTTGAGAACAAATGAACCCGAATTAATTCATCAAAAAAAATTATAAAAAAATAAATAAAAGAATCAATTCACCAATTTTTTTATAAAAGTAAATAAATAAATAAAATAAAATAAAATAATATTATCAAAGAGAAAGGTGAGAATACCATTAGTCCTCACTTTATTAATTAAGCTTTCACTTTACACCCAAAAGAAAAGTATTAGTCCTTAATTAGCTCAAACATCTATAAAAAAAAGAAGGGGGGAATCACCTTTTGCTTTTTGTTTATATTATAGAACACAAATATATTTGATCATGTTATGACATCTCGTATAAAGAACTTTCATCTCCTCTTATAGGAAACTTATTGTGTTTAGTTTCTCCCATCCTCAAATATTTTTCCTTTAGTGTGAATCTTGTTTATAAATTATTTTTATCAGCTCCAAGCCTATAACAGTTGAGTAGTTAAGGTTTCGTTATCACCAACAAAAGAGGCTCTATTATATAATAATACAAAAAAAAAGTGTTGTTTTTAAGGAATGAAGACAGCAGCAAAAAACAGAGATAATAAAATATTGAAGGAGGAAGAGTATATAAGTTGGAATTAAAGAATAAGATCGTAGGAAATCTGTTTTATTCGACTGCCAATTGCCATACATTTATAATACTTACAGTAACAAAAAAATTGACTAAGATAAAACTGAAATGCTTTCTCCTAAAGTTTAGGAACAGTAAAAACTGAAATGCTTTCTCCTAAAGTTTAGGAACAGTAAAGACTTATTCAATCAACAGAAACAATAAAGATAAACCAAATAAAGATGCCATGTGCAACAAATAAAGGGGTCACGTGCAGTTCAAAAACAAATATCTAACACTCCTCCTCGATTTTGGAACTGCAAACTCCAATCTTCTGTCTTAAGAACTCGAACTTGTTGACCGAAGTGGTTTGGTGAACAAATCTGCAACCTAGTCTTCAGTTTTGCAATAAACAAGAACAATAGCTCCATCTTTCTGTACCTCTCTTAAGAAGAACAACTTAATGTTGAAATGCTTGGTTTTCCCATGAAAGACAGGATTATGGGAAATAGCTATTGCAGCTTGGTTGTCAACAAAAACTTATGTACTTTCCTTCTGCTCCATGTTAAGATCAATTAAAATTTTTCTCAACCACAAGGCTTGGTTAACAGCAGCTGTAGCAGCAACAAACTCAGCTTCTGCTGTAGACTGTGCAACAATTTCTTGTTTCTTCGAGCTCCATGAGAAAACACTCGATCCAAAGCTAAAACAGTACCCTAAAGTACTCTTCATATCATCAATTGAACCACCCCAATCACTATCTGAGAAACCTGTTAACTTAAATTATTCAGTCCACTTGAACTTGATGCCAAAATTGCAAGTGCCTTTGACATATCTAATCACCCTTTTTGCAGCCTTGAAATGCATTTCACTTGGGCAATGCATAAACTGGGATAAAATGCTTACAGCATTTAAGATGTCAGGCCGAGTTGCTGTAAGATACATCAAACACCCAACCATGCTTCTGAAATATGCTTGATCTATCTTCTCAGTTCCATCTTCCTTGCATAGCTTTTCCTTTTGATTCATTAGGGTGTTCATTTCTTTGCATTCTTCAAGTTTAAACTTCTTCAAAATCTCCTTGGCATATTTCTTTTGACAAATGAAGACTTCATGTTCTCCTTGTTTGATCTCCATGCCAAGAAAGAAGGTCATTAAACCAAGGTCTGTCATCTCAAACACCTCCATCATTTCTTTCTTAAGCTTCTCTACAAGCCTTGTGTTGCTTCCTGTTACAAAGAGGTCATCAACATAGAGTGAGATGATAAGAATGTCAGCTCTGTCATGCTTAACATACAGTGTTGATTCAGCTAAGCTTTTGAAAAATCCCAAGTTCAACAAATG